TGCATCAGATCCCACAGGATAAGGGCTCAGTCCCTGGAGACAGCCCCCGCCTACTCTCACCCACACACACTTCAGATGCCAATTGCAAGCCCAGGTTATTACCTGTGCTTTTGACCAATCAGCTACAGAGCAGAGGTTCCAATGACTCCCCTCCTTGGATTGGATTAATTTGCTATAGCGACTCATAGAACTCAAGGAAACACTTACTTATATTTGCCAGTTTGTTAAAGGATATAATAAAAGAACAGCCAGATGGAAAGAGATGCATAGGGTAAGGTAAGTGGGAAGGGGCAGAGCTTCCATGCCCTCCCCAGGCACACCATATTCCTAGCACCTCCCCCTGTTCACCAACCTTAAAGCTCTCTGAACGCTGTATTTATGGGATTTTAAAGGAGGCATCATCAATCTTTAACTCCATTTTCAGCCCTTGTCCCATTTCAAGAGTATGAGGGGCAGGGCTGAAAATTCTAAGCTTCTAGTCACATCTTGGTCTTTCCCGTGACCAGCCCTCATCCAGGAGCCAGCCAGAAGCCCACCCAGAGTTACCACAGTAGAGCAAAAGACACGCTTATCTTCCAGGAAATCACAAGGGTTTCAGAAGCTCTGTGTCAGAGACAGAGTCAAAGAGCAATATTATGGGTGCCTGACTGGTTCAGTTGGTAGAGCATGTGACTCTCGATCTTGGGGTTGTGAGTTCAAGCCCCATATTGGGCCTAGAACTTACTTTTAAAAAAAAACAGAGGGGGCGCCTGGGTGGCTCAGTCAGTTAAGTGTCTGCCTTTGGCTCAGGTCATCAGCCCAGGGTCCTGGGATGGAGCCCGTTGGGCTCTCTGCTCCGCGGGAAGCCTGCTTCTCCCTCTCGCACTCCCCCTGCTTATGTTCCCTCTCTAGTTGTGTCTCTCTCTGTCAAATAAATAAAATCTTTAAAAAATAAATAAATAAAATAAAAATTAAAAAAAGAGAGAGAGAGAGAGACCAATCTTAGAACAAGAGATCCTCCTAGTGTTCTTATCTCTTAGGAAATTACAGGGTTTCAGGAGCTCCATGCTAGGAGCTGGGGGCAGGGACCAATATATATTTTCTATTGATTCACAGCATGTCTTTTATATGCAAAACAACCAATCCAGAGCCCATATTCTGAATTCCTTCCTCCACCAGGCTTTTATGGTCCGGGAGGCAATATTCCTCCTTCCTAATCATCCCAGGACCAGGTACCAGACAACTAGAGACAGCCTATAATATACCCCAGAGCCCACTGGTATTATTCAAACTAGCCAATTCTAAGCCTGTTTATCCTACCTTGTCTCACCTTCCCCGCATGGAAACCACAATAAGGACTCCTGCCTATAGTTTCCTCTTGGCTCCTTCCACCTCCTGACCAACCCTGATACTTTTCTATTTGGCCCTGCATGGCATGTTGTGCCCCCCCACCCCATCCCTTTGGGAACTGTGAGTAACAAACTATCTTTTCAGTGGCAATCATCTCCTGACCTGTTGGCTTCACCATACATGAATAATAATAAAACCTACATTTTAAAACACCATACTAATATCTACTGAAAATGTCAATGCTAAAATAATCACAACAAAGAAAAGGCGGTTGAAGTTCTTTTTTTTTTTTTAAGATTTTATTTATTTATTTGAGAAAGAGAGAATGAGAGACAGAGAGCATGAGAGGGAAGAGGGTCAGAGTTGGAGAAGCCGACTCACCGCTGAGCGGGGAGCCCGATGTGGGACCCGATCCCGGGACTCCAGGATCATGACCTGAGCCGAAGGCAGTCGCTCAACCAACTGAGCCACCCAGGCGCCCAAGGCAGTTGAAGTTCTTGACAAGGCAGATGAAGAAGCTGGTAAAGATTGCTTCTAAAGAGGGCAAAATGTCCTGCTTTCTAGCCAGCCAGAAATGTTTTCTAGCCCCTGGACTGTCACTGTCCCAGATATCTTACTATAAATGTTATGACAACAGTGACTACGATGAATCTCAGTTCACCAAACTGAGATTCCTCTGGGTGTGAGGAGAAAAAGCAGGAAAAGGAACAGATAAAGAAAATCATGCTGGGCTTGTCAAGCACATAAATGCTTCTGCACCATATTTGATCATAAATATGTGTTTTTGTTGTTCATACATTTAGTCATTTAAAATGAGGATTTTACTTTTGGCAATTTTAGTAAGGCTACAGACATTTGAATGTGATTGTTCAGATTAGTATATGAAATGATGTCAACAGAGAAATTGGTCATAGTGGTTGGTGATGTTGATATTCGGAAGGCAATACAAATTTACTAATCTTTTCTCTAGACTAAATCTACTTCAGTAGTTACATTTGGTAGACTTGTGAAGGTTGTATCTCATTTCTTTTCACCTATATATCTACTATATAAACCACTTAAGTATTTATACCATTAGAATTCAAAGTGTAATACGATGCTGACAAGCATAAATTATGTAACATCATGAAATAATATTTTTCCCATGAAGGTAGAATATTTGATATTTAGTGATATATCAGTGTGTATATATATTTAGTATAGCATAATTTAAAGATATAGCAAATTACACACTGAAGAATAAATAAGGTATTCTATCTTGGGCTTAAGATATCACACCTGGGCCTCGAGTTTGCAAAAGAGTCTGGCCATATCATTTATGGTGATTAGTGTATCAATTTATACGTTAAATCATTCCTCATATTTATTATGTCAATTTCTAATTCTGTTTGAATAGTCCAAATTTGTCTTAAAAATTATTTAACTTTTCCAAATCCTCTCTTTTTCTTGATCTATTTCTTTTAAGCATACACAGAAAATTTTTTTTCTATTTAAATTCAATTAATTGGGGTGCCTGGGTGGCTCAGTCAGTTAAGTTTCTGCCTTGGGCTCACGTCATGATCCCAGGGTCCTGGGATCAAGCCCTGTATCATTAGGCTCCCTGCTCAGAGGGGAGCCTGCTTCTCCCTCTCCCTTTGCCTCTTCCCCAGCTTGAGCTTCCTCACTTGCTCTTGGTCAAATAAATAAATAAAATCTTAAATAAATAAATTCAAGTAACTTTAGTGTATTACTAGTTTCAGAGGTAGAGTTCAGTGATTCATCAGTCTTATATAATATCCAGTGCTTATTACATCACATGCCCTCCTTAATGTCCATCACCCAGTTACCCCATCCTCCCACCCTCCCTTCCAGCAACTCTCAGTTTGCTTTCTATGATTAAGAGTCTCTCATGGTTTGTCTCTGTCTCTGATTTCATCTTGTTTTATTTTCCCTCCCTTCTGCTATGGTCCTCTGTTTTGTTTCTTAAATTCCACATTATCAGTGAGATCATATGATAATTGTTTTTCTCTGATTGACCTATTTTGCTTAGCATAATACCCTCTAGTTGCATCCACGTTGTTGCAAACAACAAGATCATTTTTCCGTGAGGGCTGAGTAATATTCCATTATAAATGTGTATACACACAAACACACACACACACACCACATCTTCTTTATCCATTCATCTGGGCTCCTTCCATAGTTTGGCTATTGTGGACATAGCTGCTATAAACATTGGGGTGTAGGTGCCCCTTCCAATCACTACTTTTGCATACATAGAATCTTACCAAATATTATTCTGTAATTTCTAGTCTTACTATTAAAATTATATTGGGAAAAGATTAGTATATGTGCTGCCTAAGTGAGCACTATATTGGGAAAAGATTAGATGAGTTTTATACAGTGTCCAAAATAGCTGTACCACTTTATATTCCCATCAACAATCCCATTGTTACTTTGTATTTCTTTAATTAATTGCCAATATCCATTAATTCACTCAACTAATATATATTCACCCATTATGTGGCAGGCTGTTATAGGCACTAGGGATACAGCAATAAACAAAACTGGCAAGATTGGCTATAGCCTTCTAGAGCGTATATTTTAGTAATATAAAAATAATTTATATTTATCATAAACAAATTCATAAATAGCGTGTTAGATAATAAAGAGAGCCACGGGGAAAAAGCTTTATGGAGAAAAATGAAAGTGTATGTATGTGGGTTTAATTTTAATTATGGTCGTCAGGGAAAGCTTCACTGAGAGGTGACAAGTGAGCAAGAGGCCTAAAGGAGAGCCATGAAAATATCTGGAGGAAGAGGGTTGTAACCGGAGTGGGCAGCCAGCCCAAAGGCCCAGAGGCAGAAGTGCGGCCAACAGTGTTCAAAGAATAGCAAAAGTCTAGTGTGGCTTCAAAGTAAGAGAGAAAACAGGTAGATATGGCAGCAGAGAGAGTATCATGTAAGGCCTTGCAGACCATTATAAAAACGTTGGCTTTTGGTGAGATGTGAAGTAATTGGAAGCTCTAACTGTACAAAATGGTGTAAGAGTGACTGATCTGTTTGGTCAGATTTAGGGGGATAAACTGCATGAAAACCCTCAACAGAGGCCAAAAATCGTTTTATAAGTCTTCAAATTGGAATATTTTTGATAAACCAGTAAAGATTTGGGGCTGAAGCCTACTGTCTTTTAGCTTGTTGCACTGAGGACCTGTCACTGTTAGCAGAGCTTCTGTCCTAGGCACGATTAGCCAGGGAAGAAATCCTTGTTAATCACCTTTCTGGGTAACTGTACATTTGAGGCCTAAAGGTTTTGACTCAGGACGACGAAAAACACTGATTAGGAAATCCAGAGTAGTCGTCCCAAGAACGTGGGAGAAGCTGGCGCCGTGGTCGCTCTCGACGCTCCCCGAGGAGCAGAGAAGAAAGGGCTGCTCGAAGGTCCGCCCTGTTCTTGAGAAGGACACAAAAGGGACACAAAACCCTTTACAAAAGTCCTTTTGAGCGACGGGCTCCCGCGCCAGTCGCCCAAGAAGAACCAGGATTTTCAAAAAAGGCCGCGTCGGAGGCGGGGGGGGGGGGGGGGGAGGGGGGGGCGGGGTGGTGGTGGCCGCGATGGGAGGGGCGTCGCCGAAGGGATGACGTAAAAAGGCGTCGCGCCGAGAGTGACGCGTGGCGTAGATTACGACGGACTGCGCCTGTCACACCCGCGGCTTGTTGCGGAGGAGGAGCGGGCGCCATGGCGGTTCTGCTGGAGACCACTTTGGGCGACGTCGTCATCGATCTGTACACTGAGGAGCGGCCGCGCGGTGAGAACCGGGCCCCGCTCACGTCTCGCCAGGGCCACGATCTCCTTTCCCCACTGTCCCTTCGCTGCCCGGTCCCCTTGACTGGGTTCGAGCTTCTGGGCTGCTGGTGCCCACGACTGGGCTGTTTTATTAGCGGGCCGTGATTCGAAAAGTTTTTGTGAGGAGCAGCCTCTCTCCTGTATCTGGGGCTGGCCAATCGGGTGGTGGGTGCTTGTGGCATTAAATGCCTGTGGGGTGTGTGTGTGTGTGTGTGTGTGTGTGTGTGATGCAGGCTGCATATACCATACCCATAGCTTTTGTGGCTTTACTGCGCTTTACTCGTGAGAGGAACACAATTTGTATTCCTTGGTGTGTAATCAGTAAGTCCTAATGGAAGCGGGAAGGATGTGTTTGGAGCAGTGAGTGTGAGCGTCCCGCCTGGGTGGAGGAAGGGCTGTCCAGAGATGTGCACGGAGCCCTAGCAAACACTCACTTATCGCCTGCTGTGCAAGACTGCCAGGCTCTGGGATAGGCGTCTTGTCCTTGAGGGTCTAATTTTCCACTGGGAGAAATAGACGTGGGAGCCCCTTTAAGTGTTGTAGGTCTTACAACCCATTGTAAGTGGTGTAGTTGAAGAATGTGTAAGTTGCTATGGAAACCAGTGGAGGGAGTAATTCTTCCCGGTTGGGGGCGGGGAGAAGCGAAGCAAGCCAAGAAAGTAGACCACTTGAACTAGCTCTTTCAAAGATGAGTGGGAATGAGGGTGTTTTGTTTTGTTTTGTTTTTTTTGCTTGGAATTTTCTGGAAACAGCAAGTAGTTTGGCATGGCTTGAAGGAATGATACGTGTCGTGGAATGGCAGACTACGAGTCTGGTCCTATAGGTTATATTGGTTAGATTAGATGTGAATAGTCTTGTGTGCTCTACTGATGGCTAGGGTCTTTGAAGGTTTTAAAAGCAGGATTGAGGCATGGCAAATTTGTTTTAGGAAGATAACAGGCAACAGTGTGGAGACTGTATCAGAATTGGGAGAAACTAGAGGCCACAGAGATTAGTTACAGTCAGGAAGGATCCTGTCCCCTTGGAATGCAGAGTCTATCAAAGAAGATGAAACAGTACATACAGTAAGTGTCTTTCTGCCATATTACACTCTGTCTCACACTGAGTTGTTCCCCCCCCAACACTGCATGCTTAATCATACATCCATACCTTTCGCATACTGTTGCCTCTACTCCAGTGTTTCTCTCTACTCTTGTCCTTTTGGTAAACTTCCTGCTTATCGTTCAAACCTTGGATCAAGCATGATTTCTTCTGTGAAACTCTCCCTTGTCCCTAAGAGGAATTAGATCTGTTTCTTCTGCTCTGAGATCTTTTTAAACAGCATGTGACACATTTTGTTACATCGTTCACCTGTTGTCCTGGAATTGTTTGCAAAGGCTTAGTTGCCTTCCTTGTCTGTCCTAAGCACCTGGTGCAATGCCTGCCACTTTGCACACACTAAAGGCTCATTACAGTGACTGATGTATATATATATACGTTACGTATAATGTATACGTACGTGTTTATTAGTTAGGATTCTCAGTGCAGATGATAGAAACTCAAACTGGCTTAAAGAAAATAATTGAGGGCGCCTGGGTGGCTCAGTTGGTTAAGCGACTGCTTTCGGCTCAGGTCATGATCCTGGAGTCTCAGGATCGAGTCCCGCATCAGGCTCCCTGCTCAGCAGGGAGTCTGCTTCTCCCTCTGACCCTTCCCCCTCTCATGTGCTCTCTCTCTCTCTCTCTCTCTCTCATTCTCTCTCTCAAATAAATAAGTAAATAAAATCTTTAAAAATAAAAGAAAATAATTGATTGCCTCCTGTTACTGAGGTAAGCTTGGCTTTAAGGATGGTGGGATCCAGAAATTCAAAGGATGTTATAGGGAATTGTATTTTTCATCTCTTGGTTTTGCTTTCCTTTGAATTTGTTTGACACTCTCTTCATGTGGGACAGCACCTCGCAAATGAATGGGTCCCTTTCCCCAGGGTTGTAAAGAACTAAAGGGGAGGTAGGGTTATCCTACCTAGTTAACACAGACAGAATAGACAAATAGCAATTCTGCAAAGATAGTTTGGAAGACTAAAAACATAAACCTACCCCATTTGTATGTATTTGTAAGCCTGTGATCAGATACTTACTTACATGTATAACTACTTATCGCTTTATAGTAAATATATCCAGACTTAGTTTTCTTCCTCTTTCCCTCCCCCCTCCCTTCCTTCTATTTCTTTCCTTTTTTTCCTTTTTATTATAGAAAACTTATATGCAGAAGGAGAGTCATGAAAATGAGCCTTCATGTGCCAATGACCAGTTAACGAATGGTTGTCAACACATAACCAATATCATTTCATTTATACTGGATTTTTTGTAATAAATTCATTACATGGGACTTATTTAATCTGCAGTTACTTCAATTTGTATTTCTAAAAAGTGATTAAAAAATAACCACAAATCATTATCACATCTGAGAAAATTGGCAATAATTTTTTGGTATCATTCATATTTTCCTTTTGTCTCATAAGTGTTTTAAAAATATTTGGTAATTTAAGGATGCAAACAAGGTTCGTTATATTGGCTGATATAGCTCTTAAATATAGCTTCTCCCCCTTGCCTTATTTATTTATTTAAAATTTTATTTATTTATTTATTTGACAGAGACAGCAAAAGAGGGAACATAAGCAGGGGGAGTGGGAGAGGGAAAAGCAGGCTTCCTGCTGAGCAGGGAGCCTGATGCGATGCGGGGGGGGCTCCATCCCAGGGCCCTGGGATCATGACCTGAGCCCAAGGCAGAAGCTTAATGACTGAGCCACCCAGGAGCCCCTCCCTTTGCCTTTTTAAAAAAAAAAATTTGTTTATTTGAATTTAGGTGACACACAATGTCACCTTAGTTTCAGGTGCAAGACAGTGATTCACCTTCTCTATACATTATGCTATGTTCACAACCCCCCCCTGCCTATTTTTAAAGACTTTAGTTTTTTAGAGCAATTTAAGGTTCATAGCAAAACTGAGGGGGAGATATATAGAGAGATTTCCCGTAGACCCCTATCGCCACGAATGTGCAGCCTCTCCCATTTTCAGTATTCCCCACCAGAGTCTACCTTTGTTGTATATCTGTACCATTTGTACTATGTAACACTGTACACTTGTTATTACAGTGGTACATTTGATGAACCTACATCGACAGCTCATAATCCATAGTTTACATTGAGGTACACTCTTGGTGTTGTACATTCTGTGGGTTTGGACAAATGTATAATACATAAATCCACCATTACAGTATCGTACAGAAAAATCATGCATCATGCCCTAAAAATCTTCTGTGCTCTGCCTATTTATTTGCACCCCTCTCCTCAATTCCTGGCAACCAGTGATCTTTTACTGTATCCATAGATTTGTTTTTTCCAGAATGTTATATGGATGGAGTCATACAGTATGTAAGCTTTACAGATTGGTTTCTTTCAATTTGTTATATGCATTTAAGGTTCCTCCATGTCTTTTCATGGCTTGATAGCTCATTTCTTTTTAGTAGCAAATAATAATATTCCATTGTCTGGATGTACCGCATATTATTTATTCAGTCACCTGCTGAAGGACATCTTGGTTGTTTCCATATTTTGGCAATTGTGAACAAACCTGCTATAAACATGTGTGTGCAGGTTTTTGTGTGAACATACATTTTCATCTCCTTTGAGTAAATACAAGAGGTGTGATTGCTAGATTGTATGGTAAGAATGTGTTCAGTTTTGTAAGAAACTGCCAAGGTCCATACATTATATTGGTTGATATCTTTTAATCTACAGGTTCTTCCCCACCCCAACCCCCCATTTTTCCCTTAACTTTTTTTTTTTGAGAGTTTACTTATTTATTTATTTGAGAGAAAGGAGAGAATATGAGCGGGGGAGGAGCAGAGGGAGAGAGAGGGACAAGCGGACTCTGCATGGAGCTATCTCAGAGCTTGACCCCAGGACCCTGAGATCATGACCTGACTTGAAATAAAGAGTCTGAGGCTTAACTGACTGAGCCACCCAGGCGCCTCTACCTTAACAAATTTTTGAGAAGGAATCTGAGTCATTTGTTTTATAGAATTTCCCTCATTTTGGATTTGACTGATTTTATCCTTGTTGTATCTTTAAATATATTTTTATCTCTTCTGTTTCTCATAAATTGTCACTTAGATCTAGAGCCTTGATAAGGTACAGGTTTAATGTTTTTGGCAAGAATATTTTCATATAAGGTGGTCTGCACTTCAGCTGCATCACATTCAGGAAGTACTTGATGTCTGGTTGGTTCTTCCTGCGAAGTTAAAATTGGTCGGTGGGTTCAGGCGTGTCTACCTGGTGTATCTGTTATAGTGTCCCCATTAGCTTTTCATCTAAAGATCACTACCTAGATCCATTATTTTTGTTTTCTAGTTAAAGGACTACTCTTTTATATTTAACAGTAATCCCAGAAATGTATTTTTCTAGGAAAACAATCAAAATCCTGATATTCAAGACCTTTCAATACCTTGGCTGCATCTTACCCCTCTGGTCTATTTACCCTCTATTACTTTGTATTACCAGAGTGTTACAGAGCTTAGACTGGTCTTTTGGACCCTTCAAAAAACATTTATACTTGCACATCCAGACTTATTCATACTGTCTTCCCAGTTTGAAATGTTTACTCTCTACTCTTTGCCTGTCTAGTTCTTGTATTTTTTTTTTTAAAGATTTTATTTATTTATTTGACAGAGACACAGCGAGAGAGGAACACAAGCAGGGGGAGTGGGAGAGGGAGAAGCAGGCTTCCGGCAGAGCAGGGAGCCCAATGCAGGTCTTGATTCCAGGACCCTGGGATCATGACTCGAGCTGAAGGCAGACGCTTAACAACTGAGCCGCCCAGGCGCCCCTGTCTAGTTCTTGTAATGCCCACCTTAAGCCTCTATGAGGTCTTCTAATTTCCCTGGCCAGAAACAATCTCCCTTTTGAACTTTGTGGCTTTTTTAAAACCACTTTTTACCATTTTACTATATAGGTGGCACAGATGGTATTATTAGATGTATCCAGTATTGTAATTATTTTGCTCGGATGTAAGGACCCTGGACAGCCTCATAGGTCTTTCTGTCTGGTTTCTAGCTTAGTGTTCTGAGAGTTTGTTAGTGTACAACTAGACTATGGACTTGTTGAGGAGAGGGACTATGGTTTAATGGCATTTGTGATAGCAGTGCCAAGCACCTAGAAGATACTCCATAAATATTTACTGAATAAATGAGTGTATTTATATGAGAAAGCTGGTACGTGATAAGTATATGGATTTTTGTGGAGAGCTATTTAGTCATCATTAAAGAAATTGGTCTCAGATATTTGATTTTATCTAATTTATATAATTTGTACCCATTTCCAGATACTCTGATAGATTCTTTTCCACCATAGTATCCTCTTTGGGTTTTTTTTCTCTTGCAAAACTAATCCATTAGTTAATGGTTGCCTATCCCAAATAAGTGTCAGTTTCCTGCAGTAGCTCAGATGCCCAAGAAGTCCTAAGAAAAAGAGAATAAAAAGATAATTTAAAATATATTGCCTTTTTCTAGACTTACTGCCTTTTTTATGATTTAGGATATTTGACCATTGGGGGGTGTTTGTATGGTAATTTAGAAATGAAATTATGCCAACTAAGCATTTACTTGCTTAAAAATGTTTTTGTGAGCCACTATGATAAATTTAGTATTTACTTTTCTTTCAGCCTGCTTGAATTTCCTGAAGTTGTGCAAAATAAAGTATTACAATTATTGTCTTATTCACAATGTACAGGTGAGTTGGTGGATATAAGTCATGTCCTTTATTATTGGAATGATCTAGCAAACTCTGTGAATTAACAAAGTATCCTATTTATTATAGAGGGATTTTATCATACAAACTGGTGATCCTACAGGGACTGGCCGTGGAGGAGAGTCTGTTTTTGGGTGAGTTCTTTTATTTTTAAGTGAGAAAAATAAAATCGCCTCTTAACAGTGTTATCTAACATATTTCAATCTGCATTTTAAAATACAATTCAAATACAGATTTTTTTTCCAAGTTCCCTAAATGTCTATAGCAAAAAAAAAAAAAAAAAGACTATTTTGAATCGTAGTGGCATTTCTATAAACGGTAATCCTATTTGTTACTAGTACTTTGTATTTCATGTTGAGAGTACTTATATTTTATAACTTTATTATATGAATTTACAGTCAACTGTATGGTGATCAAGCAAGCTTTTTTGAGGCTGAAAAAGTACCAAGAATTAAGCACAAGAAGAAAGGCACTGTGTCCATGGTGAACAATGGCAGTGATCAACATGGATCTCAGGTTAGGAAATGAGTAAGAAGATGAGTTTTGTTTTATTTTTTATTTTTATTTACTTTTTTTGTACAGAACATTTTTTTAAAGATTTTATTTATTTATTTGAGAGAGTGAGAGCAGGGGGAGGAGGAGAGGGACAAGCAGACTCCCTGCTGAGCAGGGAGCCCAGTACAAGGCTCAATCCCAGGACCCTGGGATCATGACGTGAGCTGAAGGCAGATGCTTAACTGACTGCACCACCCAGGTGCCCCAAGATGAGTTTTGTTTTAAAATGAAGGACTGGAAAGAGCCACAAGTTATCTTTTTAAGCTATCCAATAAGAAGAGAATTTCAAAGATAATTGTTAGAAGAAAAATATTATACTATATTTTTTCTATATGAAAAAATTATTTTGGGGGGATGCCTGGCTGGCTCAGTCAGTAGAGCATGTGACTCCTCAGGGTTGTGAGTTTGAGCCCCATGTTGGGTGCAGAGTTTACTTAAAAATAAAATATTAAAAAAAATTACTTTGTTCTTTTTAAAAATTTATTTATTTATTTATTTATTTATTTTAGAGAGAGAGAGAAGGGGGGGGTCAGAGGGAGAGAGAGAAAATCTTAAGCAGACTCCACCCAAGCGCAGAGCCTGACACAGGGCTCAATCTCACAACCTTGAGATCATGACCTGAGCTGAAATCAGGAGTCAGATGCTTAACCAACTGAGCCACCCAGTCGCTTGTACTTTTTCCTTTTAAATGTAAGGCATGTCCAGTGTGAGGAGTTCAGAAGATACAAAAACGTATAACATTATCCACAATCCTACTATCCATGGATCATCACTGTTCACATTGTGGTCTGTTTCCTTTTGGTATTTATTACTTCAAAACAGATCATGTTGAGAACCTTTCATTCATTGTCTGATCCTCACAACAACCCATTTTGGGGTAGATGCTTTTTTTCTACTCACAATTCACATGTGAAGAAACTGAGCTTTGGTTTGCCCAAGTATTTTAAACAACCAGGGAAGCATCTGTATGTGTATTGATATTTTATGGATAAGCTTGTACTTTTTAATTAGTACTAGTAACAAGTGGGTAAGAATCCATGCAGTGAATGTAGAGTATTGCGTTTGTGTATTTTTGTCAGTTTGTAACTGATTTCAGTTTGAATTATAGGTATATATTTATATTTTTCTGTGTCTTTCTATTCAGTTTCTTATTACTACAGGAGATAATCTAGATTACCTTGATGGTGTTCATACAGTGTTTGGTGAGGTGACAGAAGGCATGGACATAATTAAGAAAATTAATGAGACCTTTGTTGACAAGGATTTTGTGCCATATCAAGATATCAGGTGTGGTTGCTATCTCAGTGTACTAGAATGTTTTAATACTGTGATGTTTGTGGAGATGGCAAGCATAGAACTGGTTTTTGGATAATTCCAAAATGTGAATTAATATGAGACTATACGAATCCATAAAGTAAAAAAGACCTTTTGTATTTTTATACTTCTTTTTTTTTCTAAAGATTTTATTTATTTGAGAGAGAGAGAGAATGAGAGAGAGAACATGAGAGGGGGGAGGGTCAGAGGGAGAAGCAGACTCCCTGCTGAACAGGGAGCCCAATGTGGGACCGGGGACTCCAGGATCATGATCTGAGCCGAGGGCAGTCACTTAACCAACTGAGCCACCCAGGCGCCCTTGTATTTTTATACTTCTACTAATTATTTATAATTGCTTATGTTGGGAGGAATTATTTATTTTTTTATTTTTTTAAAGATTTTATTTATTTATTTGAGAGAGAGAATGAGAGAGAGAGCACATGAGAGGGGGGAGGGTCAGAGGGAGAAGCAGACTCCCTGCTGAGCAGGGACCCCGACGCGGGACTTGATCCTGGAACTCCAGGATCATGACCTGAGCCGAAGGCAGCCGCCCAACCAACTGAGCCACCCAGGTGCCCCTGTTGGGAGGAATTATTAATCCTTAATTTAGGTTTAGTTTTTTTTTTTTTTTTAAGATATTTATTTATTTGACGGAGAGAGACACAGCGAAAGAGGGAACACAAGCAGGGGGGCAGTGGGAGAGGGAGCAGCAGGCTTCCCGCGGAGCAGGGAGCCCAGTGCGGGGCTCAGTCCCAGGACCCTGGGATCATGACCCGAGCCGAAGGCAGACGCTTAACGACTGAGCCACCCAGGCGCCCCTCCTTAATTTAGTTTTTAAAAAAATGCATATTATTGAGAAATTTGGCAAAAGTACTAAGATTTAGACATATTAATATTAGACATATTATTTTAGAGTAATGCAGAGTAGTAAATCTAATATCAAACAATGAAAAACAGTAACACTGTGAAAGTATACTCTCATAATGTATACTTGTGCATTAAAATTTAAGTGCCTATGATTTTTGGGCATTAGAGATACTTAAGACATTTGTTATAATCTTTATAAAAAGTAAAACATGAATTCTGAAATAATGTAAATGAAACCTTTGACTTGGATTTATTTTGTAAGGATAAATCATACAGTGATTTTAGATGATCCGTTTGATGACCCTCCTGATTTATTAATTCCTGATCGATCACCAGAACCTACGAGGGAACAGCTAGATGTAAGTAGAGTCCTCTTGTGATTGAATGTACATGCATATTAATGCTTTGCATAGATTTTGCTTTTTAGTTTATTAAAACTTATTTCTTCAAAATGACTATCTTTCTTGATCAATTCTACTAGGACAAGTTTAACCTTCTTTTTCTCTTCCACAGAGATACTCATTTTCTAGCTATCTTTTGATTTCCCTAATTTCCTTTCTTCAATTTCTGTTCCACTAGAAGAGCCTTAGCTCTGGAAGCTTATGTGAATACCTTGCGAAAATGTTTTTCTTGTCTCCTAACTCTAGGAGTGTGGCTGTAAGGCTAGGGTAAACTATCATCTTGTAAGGGAGCTTTTCAACTGGGAACCCTCTGGAGCCATGCTAGAACCTAGAAATTTTTGTGAAATAATGTAGACTCTTCCTTCATATTTTTTAAGGTATAAGTTTCTGTTTATGAGGCTTTCTCAAAGCTGAATTGATCTTCATAGTTGGGATTTGGTGCTTAATTTTTAAGGTCATTTATTTTCTGCATTCAGCACTGAGTTGAATACCAGATAGTTTTGATTTAATAATAAATTAGAAGCTTAGTCTGGCTCATATTATCAAATTAATTTAAATCAATTTTCAGAGGCTTGTAAGTTTCAGTTTTTATTCTAACACATTTGATGGAACCAAGGACAAAGCATCACATATCCCATATTTCTCAGATTTTTCAGTTCTTTCACTATATGTTTAAGTAACTTCTGCCTTACAGAGTGGTCGAATAGGAGCAGATGAAGAAATTGATGATTTCAAAGGAAGATCAGCTGAAGAAGTAGAAGAAATAAAGGCAGAAAAAGAGGCCAAAACTCAGGCTATTCTATTAGAAATGGTAAGATGATTATCTTTGTTCAGATAGTTGTTCTGCAATTTATTTAATATACAGCTCGTTGTGAGTTTATTTTTTGGTTCTTTCTTTTTCTTTTTTTTTTAGGTTGGGAGAGGGCGGGACGTGGGGGGGCGAGGGAGAGAGAGAATCTCAAGCAGGTTCCACACCCAGCACAGAGCCCAATGTGGGGCTCGATCCCACAACCCTGACATAATGACCTGAGCTGAAATTAAGGGTTGGATGCTCATCCAGCTGAGCCACCCAGGCACCCCTATTTTTGGCTCTTTGATAGTCAAAGTATTAAAAATTTAGCTAAGAGTTCTTTTCTGGATTAAATTTTGTATGACATAATACATGAAAGTAAACAAATTTGGTTCCAAAATCAATATAGTGCCAAGTGCCTTTTTAAAAAATGAGGAGTGGATATACAATTTACAAATATTCATTGAATTTCAATTGTTTATCTTCATCTCATTTTTGAAGAGTGTTTATTGGATCGAATTTTATTTGTATTAAAGAACAATTCTTTGTTGAAAAGACTTGTTGTAAAGTGTTGAGGTTAGGTAGTTACAGGATATAAGGAACCTGGGTAGAAGTTGAGTACTGTAAAACATACTCGTTTGTATTACTAACAGTATGAAGTCATTTGGGGAACAGTTCTTTAGTACTGATGAATTGACCTACTGGACATTTTTTCCATTCGTTAATTTTTTGTGGAATAGGCATATCTGTCACATAGTAGATCATCAATAAATATTTGAATGGATAATTCAGTTTTTATTATTATCATTGTTTTATATAGTAGAGTTTTCAAATTCATCTTTTTCAAAATTCATATTTACATCACCAGTCTGGAGGAACAAATATTAAAGACTATAATTCAAGAAAACTTTACTGAATTAAAAAAAATTTGAAAATCTACACTGTGTAGCTGAGACTATTGGCCCAGAACAACCAACAGCATGACAAATTCTAAGAAAGCTACTGAACTTAAAAGAAAAATCTTTTTCTTTTTTAAGATTTATTTATTTATTTTAGAGAGAATGCAGTGGGGAGGGGCAGAGGGAGAGGGAGAGAGTGTAAAGCAGACTCTACCCTGAGTGGGGAGTCTGATGTGGGGCTCAGTCTCACAACCCTGAGATCATGACCTGAGCAGAAAGCCAAGAGTCAAATGCTTAACCAACTGTTCCACCCAGGCACCCCAAAAGAAAAATCTTTTGAGCAACTGGGCAACAAAAATAACTTATAAGGGAAAGAATATTAGATTATCATCAGAGGTTTTTTGTTTGTTTTTGTTTTTAAAGATTTTATTTGTTTATTTGAGAGAGCACAAGCAGGGGGAGTGGCAGGCAGAAGGAGAAGCAGGCTCCCTGCTGAGCAAGGACCCTGATGCAGGGCTTGATCCCAGGACCCTGGGATCATGACCTGACCTGAAGGCAGACACTTAACTGACTGAGCCATGCAGGCGTCCCTAAGATTTTATTTTTAAGTAATCTCTACACCCAGTGTAGGGCTCAAACTTAGAACTCCAAGATCAAGAATCACATGTCCCACTGACTGAGCCAGCCAGGTGCCCCCCCAATAGTATTTTATTTATTTATTTATTTATTTTTAAAGATTTATTTATTTATTTATTTGAGAGAGAGAGAGAGAGAGAGCACATGAGACGGGGGAGGGTCAGAGGGAGAAGCAGACTCCCCGCTGAGCCGGGAGCCTGATGCGGGACTCGATCCCAGGACTCCAGGATCATGACCTGAGCTGAAGGCAGTCGCTTAACCAACTGAGCCACCCAGGCGCCCCCCCCATAGTATTTTAAAGTTACTTTTGACTAAGTAGTGTAGCAAGTTCTTTTTTAACTCATTAACCTTTTTTTTTCTTCTGTGCTTCCTTTAGATGTGGTATTATAGGTGCTTTTCAGAATTTTTCCCTGATTTGCTCTTCCCCTTACATACTGTGATACTGTTTATTAGACACAGATTATTGTCTTTTCTAAAAAAAAATTTTTTTAAAGTAAGCTTTACGCCCAACATGGGACTTGAACTCACGACCCTGAGATCAAGGGTTGCATGTTCTCCTGATTGAGCCAGCCAGGCACCCTGGATTATTGTCTTTTGATAGGCTTCAGAAACACTGAGCAGATCTTACTGGCTCTGTTCCTTATTACTGTTTCTGATTTTAAAAAAAAGCTTTTTAAGTGTGTTTATCCAAGAGGAGACACTTTACATGATAATGTTATCAGAAATTATCTCTGAGAGTTTTTGAATATATGTATAAAGGAATATTGTTTTCCTATCTAAAGGTCCATGGGAAATACAGTTTTCCCACAGTGAAACCAATTCCATCATCATGTTTTTCTCCCAGAGTCACCCTCACTGGTTCTTCAGTAGGAAGTGGGATTTCCTGCTCAGTGCAGTAGTTGTCTGTGAAGTTGACTTCAGTTTGGCTAAAGCAGAAGATGACAGGATAAGAGTAAAAAGCTAGAAACACTGTCCAGGAATTGTTGCTGTTTCATATTGAACAACAGTGTGGAAAGAATGGGGCATTACTAATTGAGAAGGCTAGAGTCAGGATGATAATATTTTTCAAAAGTTTATTAAAAAAACAAGCAAAACTAAAACTATATTTCTGGGGATACATACTTAACGTGGGAAAACTGAAGATATAGGGGAATGGCCAAAAAGGAAAACCAAAAAGCAGGACATTTGGTATTCTGGTGAGAAAGGCAGAGTCATGGGAACGGGGGACATTTTAGTTCTTTAGCTAGTTGTTGGCATCGTGGGTGTTTTTTATTTTCATGCTTCATAACTTAGATATACTTTATATAAATTCTTTTTTTAATATATCAAATACTTGAAAAAAGAAAAACGAGATAAAATTGGGACTTTGAAGCCAGATAGATCTGTGTTTAACTCCCAGCTGTTGTTTGCCTCCGTGTGGCCTTAAGTTAGTTATTTAACGTTTTTGAATTTTATTTTATTCATTTTTAAAATGGAAACCACATGTTTTTTTTAAGAATTATTAGTTGGGTGCCTGGGTGGCTCAGTCGTTAAGCATCTGCCTTCAGCTCAGGTCATGATCCCAGGGTCCTGGGATCGAGTTCCACGTCAGGCTCCCTGCTCAGTGGGGAGTCTGCTTCTCCCTCTGCCTGTCCCTCTGCCTACTTGTGCTCTCTCTATCTCTCTGTCAAATAAATAAAATCTTCAAAAAAAAAAAAAAAGAATTAGTAGTGTATATGAAGTGCCAGGCGTGGTGCTCATACAAAGTCAGAGGTAGACAAGTATTAGCTATTAATATTACTACCAGGAACGTTGTGATTTCTTTTTTTTTTTTTTTTAAGATTTTATTTATTTATTTGACAGAGACACAGCGAGAGAGGGAACACAGCAGGGGGAGTGGGAGAGGGAGAAGCAGGTTTCCCGCAGAGCATGGAGCCCGATGTGGGGCTCGATCCCAGGACCCTGGGATCATGACCTGAGCCTAAGGCAGACACTTAACGACTGAGCCACCCAGGCGCCCCTAGGAACACAGTAATTTCAAACTTTGAAATCTTACTTAGATTTCTTTTCCTAAGCCTGTACTGGATTTCTAATGTAAATTTAGTTGTTTAGAGAAATCAGCATTTTGGGCTAGATAGGGTATTTAGAATAGAAACAACAAAGGAATTGATTTAAATTTTTGTTTACTTATAATTTAGGTGGGAGACCTACCTGATGCAGATATTAAGCCTCCAGAAAATGTGCTGTTTGTGTGTAAATTGAATCCAGTGACCACTGATGAAGATCTGGAGATAATATTCTCAAGATTTGGGCCAATAAGAAGGTAAACTCTAGAATTAGTGAAAGATTTTATTTTTTTTTTATTATTTTTTTTTTTTTAAAGATTTTATTTATTTATTTGAGAGAGAGAGAGAATGAGAGATAGGAAGCATGAGAGGGAAGAGGGTCAGAGGGAGAAGCAGACTCCCTGCTGAGCAGGGAGCCCGATGTGGGACTCGATCCCAGGACTCCAGGATCATGACCTGAGCTGAAGGCAGTCGCTTAACCAACTGAGCCACCCAGGCGCCCTAGAATTAGTGAAAGATTTTAGAAAAACTAGGTATTGGTGGTTTTCTAATGACATTTTTTTGATGAATCTGTGAACTCTGGAATTTTGTAGTGGTGAATTTTACAGATGAGTCTTTTGTACAGTAGGGAAGAAAAGTATATGTGTGTGTATGTGTGCATACAAATATGTACACACAAATATATATATATACATGATTGAATGATTGTCCCACTTCCAGCACACACATTTTTGCTTTAAAGCAAGAAGTGAATGGAACAGGTTCCTCGTTTCATGTTTTTAAAATGAGACTTATAGGGCGCCTGGGTGGCTCAGTCGGTTAAGCATCTGCCTTCAGCTCAGGTCATGATCCCGGGGCCCTGGGATGGAGCCCCACGTCGGGCTCTCTGCTTAGCGGGAGCCTGCTTCTTCCTCTCCCTACTGTTCCCCCTGCTTGTACTCTCTCAAATAAATAAATAAAATTTAAAAAAATAAAAAATAAAATAAAAGACTTATGTGAGGAAATGGACAAGCTGCATGGTTTCAACTCCCATCTTATTGGTCCTTTCACTTGTCAAGATGGATTAGTTCTATATAACAGCTATACTTACGGGGTAAAATTTGAGCTTGGTTTATATTAAAATTCAAAAACTACAAAGCATAAACTTACTAAATGTGTATATATGTATGAATATACATACATTATTTTACAGTAACATGAGATAATTCTGTAATTCATCTACATTTGGACCAGAAGTGAATTATGACTTAAAAGAATTTTTTAGCAGTAGTTTACTTTTGGCACAGGGAGGTAAATAGTTTATCTTACACTTTCTTCAGTGCATTAGAAATTTAGGACTATAGGCCAAGATTGGGCATTTAGAGTAGAATTGAGATAATTTTGTTACTACACTGGTGAACTACTTTTTTTTAATTGTTATTGAAGAAATTTGGAGGAGTAGAGTTCCACGAGTTTAACTTTGATTTTTTTATGAGAGGTTTTTTTTTTTTTTTTTTAAGATTTTATTTATTTATTTGTCAGAGAGAGAGAGCACAAGCAGGGGAAGCAGCAGGCAGAGGGAGAAGCAGGCACCCCTCTGAGCAAGGAGCCGGATGTGGGACTCTCTTCCAGTACCTTGAGATCATGACCTGAGCCAAAGGCAGACGCTTAACGCTTAACTGACTGTGCCACCCAGGCGCCCCATAAGAGGTTTTTTTTTTTTAAGATTATTTATTTATTTATGTGAGAGAGAATGAGAGAGAGAGACAGAGACAGAGGGAGAAGCAGACTCCCCGCTGAGCAGGGAGACTGACTCAGGGTGTGATCCCAGGAGTCTGGGATCATGACCTGAGCCAAAGGCAGACACTTAACTGACTGAGCACCCAGGTGCCCCTTAACTTTGACTTTTAATAACTGGCTTATTTTGTTCTTCACTTTTGAAGAGTAAGAGTGAATGCTTTTTCTTTAAAGTCACTTTTCCAAACTTTCTTTCAGTTGTGAAGTTATTCGGGATTGGAAGACAGGAGAATCCCTCTGTTATGCTTTTATTGAATTTGAAAAGGTAGGTCATAGTATACGTATTTTAAGTTTATATTTATTTTGTTCTTATATAGTGTTAAAATGTGAAAAATTATAGAACTTTCTAGTCTCTGAAATTAGAAAATTAATTTACCCTTTCTCTAGGTACCCAAGAAAAATAATTTTATTATATTCAAATGGAGGGTAAATTCAACATCTGTTGTTGTTAATATGTGTACCTTTACTTTAGGGTCAGGTGCAGTCTGAGTTTATGTATCTTTAAAACTTTAAAGTTTTAGGTGAAATCCTTCACATTGTATAAATGATTTTTCAGCATTGTTTATGTAGATCTGTAATTGAGTAATAGAGAACTGGACTGGATGTAAAGTTCTAGATATTAACCCGAACTCTGTCACTGACCACCTATTGTATGGTATTTGTCAGTTTGTTTAGGACTCTTATTCCTAGGCATTAGCCTCCTTATAAATACAACTTGAATATTGGATTAGATAGTATCTTCTAGACCTATAATAATAATGATGATAGCTTATGTCACTCAGATAACTTTCTTTAAGCCAGGCATTATACTACTTGACCTGCATTTTACCCTCACAACTCTGTGAGATAGATAGGTACTTTCCTCCTTTTCCAAATAAGTAAACTGAGACATATAGTGGTTGTGTGACTTGATTAAAATTATGCCCCTAGTGAATGTCATAGCTGGGATTTGAATTTAGAAAAATCTGACACTGCTCCTATTGCTTTTAGCTGCTATGTGAGGCTGTGTCATTTCTATGCAGCTTTGGACTGATGTGTGTCCACTAGTAGCTCCTTCCAAGTGACAGTTATCCTTCCAAGTGAGTTATTCCAGAGCATTTATCGAATACCTTCTATATTTTAGGCACTGCGATAGCAGAAAAAACCAGAATTCCAGAGGCCCTCCCTATCACTGCTACTTGTAACATTATAGACCTGTTTTGTCTAATTTTAAACTTGATATAAATGTAAACACAGTGTGTGTTTTTTGTGTCCATCATCTTTTGCTTAAGTGTTGTATTTGTAAGATTTATATGTTACTTCATATGTGGTAACATGTTAACTTTTTTCATTAATTTCCATTGACGTGGTATTTCATTATGTGTATATGGATTTTTGTTGCCATATAGTATTTTATTATGTGTATATAAAACAATTTAGATTTCCATTCAGCTTGGTCCTTGTAGTTTTGAGCTATTATGAATGGTTCTACTGTAAGGCATTTCTTTCGTATGTTTTGGTGTACATATGTATGCATTTCTGTTGGGTATGTACCTATGAGTGAATTGCTGGGTCATAGGGTAGTTGTGGCTATAGTAGATTATTTTAATCATTTTTCCAGAGTGGTTGTATTTTTTTTTCCCTTAAGTGGTTATATTTTCGCTTTCACTAGCGATGTGTGAGAGTCCCTGTCAGTTCTTGGTATGGTCAGTCTTTAAAATTTTTATCCATTCTGGTGAGTGTGTAGTGGTATCTTATGGTTTTATTTTGCATTTCCTTGGTTGCGCCCCCTTTCATATGTTTATTGCATTGGATGTCTTTTTTTTGTTTTTTTTAATGAAGTAACTGTTCAAGACTTGCCCACTTTTTGATTGCATGTTTGGCTGCCTTTTTCTTGATTTGTAAGAATTCTTTACATTTTCTGGATACAAGCTTATTTTTTGGTTATATGTGTTGCGAGTATCTTTTCTATAGATTTGCCTTTTCCCCATTTTTAATGGTGTCTTTTGATAAGCAGAAATTTCTGATTTTTAGTTCAATTTGTCAATATTTTTTTCTTTTTTTTTTTAAAGATTATTTATTTATTTATTCATGAGAGACAGAGAGAGAGAGAGAGGCAGAGGGAGAAGCAGGCTCCCAAGGAGCAGGGAGCCTGACGTGGGACTCGATCCCAGGACCCTGGGATCATGACTTGAGCCGAAGGCAGATGCTTAACCATCTGAGCCACCCCCGCGCCCCTCATCAATATTTTTCTTATGGCTGGTTTTAAAAAACTTTGTCTACCCCCACAGTCATGAAAAATCCTCCAATGCTGGGGTGCCTGGGTGGCTCAGTTGGTTAAGCGACTGCTTTCGGCTCAGGTCATGATCCTGGAGTCCCGGGACCGAGTCCCACATCGGGCTCCCTGCTCAGCAGGGAGTCTGCTTCTCCCTCTGGCCCTCTTCCCTCTCGTGCTCTCTGTCTCTCATTCTCTCTCTCTCAAATAAATAAATAAAATCTTTAAAAAAAAAAAATCCTCCAATGCTACCTTTAGAAGGTTTGCTGTGAAAAATCTTTCCTATTTAGATCTGTAATTTGATTTTTGTGTATTATGTGTATCATGTTAAATTTCGTTTTTCTTACATTGGATAGCAAGGGGACTCAGCCTAGTTTATTGAAAAGGTTGTCCTATCCACACAGCTTGGCAGTGCCATCTTTGTCATAAGTCAGGTGCCTACATAAGTGTAAAGTATCTGAGAACTTTCTCTTTAGGGAAAGGGCACAGTGATGCAGTTATGCCTGCCCAAGTATAATCATTACAGATTCATCAAACATACATTGATTGTTGGGGCATCTGGCTGGCTCAGTCAGTAGAACATGCACCTCTTGGGTCATGAGTTTGAGCCCCATGTTGGATGTAGAGCTTTAAAAAAAAGAGCAAAACACTGATTGCCTATCATGTGCGAGATGATGTTCTAAATGATGTAGATACAAAGATGAATAAAGCTTTATATCTTTATGGAGTTTATAATCCATTTAATTCTTGACATACATGGTAAATAAATAAATTATAACTAGTTTTTGTTTTTTTATCTTCTTCTCTGAATTGTCTCTAGTAAGTTGTGAGCACGCCAGAGAATATGTTTCCAGGAATATAGGAGATAATTGATCAATGCTGGGTTGACATGCATCACTTCTAGTCTTCAGATGTCGGAAATGGAGAATAGGGGGTTTGTGAAGTTGCTGACAGGAAGAATCCTTATGTAACACCGACCTTGGTATCTCAGGCCCACAGTCCATTATCCACACCCCTGGGGGTAGCTATGTTTCTGATTTCAGGCTTTTTCAGAACTTAGAAAGGTGTGGACTGTGTAATACTCCTCTGGGTCAGCACTCCATAATCATTCACAAAATATTTCTGCACTGAAACAAATGCATATTCATACTAAGTGGAACAAATCAAGGCCACGGTCTTCTGTTAGGTGAAGTTTTGTTGCCAAATGGATTTTATGTTATTTTTTTAAAGATTTTATTTATTTGACAGAGAGAGAGACAGCCAGAGAGGGAACACAAGCAGGGGGAGCAGGAGAGGGAGAAGCAGGCCTCCTGCCGAGCAGGGAGCCTGATGTGGGGCTCCATCTCAGGACCCTGGAATCATGACCTGCGCCGAAGGCAGCCGCTTAACGACTGAGCCTCCCAGGCTCCCCTGTCAAATGGATTTTAACACCAAATTTATAAAAACAGCTTTCAACTTTCAGAATATTTTTGGGTTTCGAATGGAAGGGTTTGTAGATGGACTTGTACAGCACAATTTGCAAGTGTATGTATGTCCACTACAGTCACACTGCCTCGGCTCAAATCCTGGCTCTCACCTTTGCCAGCTGACCTTTGGCAACTTCTGTACCTTTCTAAACGGATGTTTTCTCTTTGAGAAAATGGAGATAATAATAGGTAGTACTTCATATGCTTGTTATCAGAGTTAACTGAGCTCATAGATGCAGAGCATGCAACAGCATCTGGTGTGTGATAGGCACTCAAATATTAGTGTTAGTAACAACAGACTTGCTGTGTTTTCAGTATTTGTTCTAGCGCAGAAATTTTTTCCATAAAGATTTATGCTTGAGTTTTTGTAATTATTATCAGGAAGAAGATTGTGAGAAGGCGTTCTTCAAAATGGACAATGTCCTTATAGACGACAGAAGAATACATGTGGATTTTAGCCAGTCTGTTGCAAAGGTTAAGTGGAAAGGAAAAGGTATGTTGGTTCAGCTTCCTTTGTTTCTGTTCACTGTGCATGCGTGTGCGTGCGTGCGTGTGCATTGTGTGCGTGTGTGTGTGTGCACGTGTGTGCCTGTACCTCCTTTGCCTTAGTGTTGTTCATTAGGAGAAATGTTTATTGATGGAACTTCTGCCATTTATGGTTTCACGTAGGTGCTAGCAAGAATCTAACATACAGGGGAGTGTGTGTGTGTGTATATGTGTATTTAAGCTGATGGTGAATATATTTACTATTTTTGTGTTATAAATTACTTATAATTACCCACTGCAAACATGGCATATTTGCAAAGTAATGATTTTGATGGTTGTGATGGCTTGGGTCTTCTAGGTGCAAAACTCTTAAGTTTTTTTGAAGTTTGTTTGTTTTAGTTATCACATGGTAGAAAATTGAAAAGGTGGTGTTTAAAAACTCTCCCTTCCCTCATCTATCCATTTCCCTTCCCAGAGGTAACCACTCTTACCTGTTTCTTGTATTATTTTCCACATACATTCTTTGAACATACATACATATGTGTTTATGTTAGAATTTCCTCTTATTTCATGTTTTTATTCCCATGTAGGTTTTATGTATATTTGTTAGCTTTCTCTTTTAAAAAAGGAAGTATATATATTTTATACATACAGTTTTCATCTTGGGAGTAGAGGGGCTGCATAGGATGCTTTTTCCTGGCCCTGCCACCGAGGACCAGTCAAGATATAACAGTAGGTCCTGTTTTTCTGAAGGGATTGTTGATTTCATTTCTGGCACTTGGGGAGGGAATATAGGTGACTTAGGCTTGGTGTTGTTGCCAGCCCTCCCCTTTCACACCCTTTAGTGAACTTCTGTGTACATTCCTGCTGTCCTGCTATCTGCTTGGTGCTCTGGAGATCTTGGTCAGTGTCTCTTCTGACAGATCAGAGATCTTTAAAGCCTCACTTCTTTACAACTTCTAAGCCTCTCAGATCTCAGACTCCAGTCTCAAGCCCTCAATTTCCTTTGGACCTAATTTTCTCATGGACTTAATGGCTCTAGTTAAATACTGCATTATTTCCCAGTGAAATGTATTCACTGTGTCATTTAGGATTTGAAAGTTTGATGTTGTAATTACTCACATATATCGTTAGGTGGCAGCATATAGCTACTTAGCAAAACGGATTTGAAATAGTAATGGAGAATGAATTACTCTTCTTTTGTTTTCTTCTCAGCCTTTTTCTGTCTGCCAACGTATATGCCATTTATAAAATAGCTGATGTATTATACCTCTTAAAATTAATTTTTGTTCTTTAATAAGTTAGGGGAGGTTTTTTACTAAGTCTTTTTTTTTTTTTTTTTTTTTAATAAATAGGTGGGAAATACACCAAGAGTGATTTCAAGGAATATGAAAAGGAACAAGATAAACCATCTAATTTAGTTTTGAAAGATAAAGTAAAGCCCAAGCAGGAGTATCCTTTACAATAACCAATTAGTCAATATGTATAGACCATCCACTCTGTGTAGAATACTGTGTGATATGTTATAAAAAGTCACAGTCTGTAGAAGACAAGGTTCCTGAATCCAGTGGTTTGTGAAGACATCGTTTAGTTTATTGTGATCCTGTTTCAACGTCTTACATAAACTTTTCTTTTTTGGTATGTTCTCTAATGTACGAATAAGGTTAGGGTTGAAAAAAATCTCTAGCCTAATTCTTTTCCCTCCTTACTCTTAGGTTAAGGTTAACACTTATTCTGAAATCTTCAGGTAAGATTTGTATTTTGGATACAATTGTAATGTTTTAAATTCCTCATACTCAGAAATTTTCTTCGTGTAGCTACGCTAAATTCTTGGTGTTAACCTTCCTCATAATGTTTAACTTCTTTGGATGGCAAATATGTAGATTAACAAAATCCTGTTGTTCTCTTACATGATTAGGTTGCTTCTTTCTGCTTAGTACATTGTCAGTCTAGCAACAAATATTTATTGGGCTCCTATTTGTATGTAAGAGTTAGCTTTTATATGATTAAAAAGAAATCCATTGACTTGACCATTTTAATTTAGGTTCTTCCAAGTTTTAGTTGAGACAAGTAAAAATCAGTGAAACATACTGTTTACATTATGTCATTTTAATTTGTTCATTGATATTCTCATTATAAATCTATCACTCTTCACATTGCGAAAGTTATTTCTTTTGTGATTCTTTCTGGTAAATGGTTTCTTTGTTTCCTAATTTCTGTTGGTGTTTTAGGGATTCTCTTTCCCACACCTGTCTTAGACATTTCTTTTCCAAGTATTCATCAGGGAAAGATGAATATCAGGTTGACTTGTTATACACTCATTTGAAAAACTGTGTTGACTGTCTACAGTGCATAAAGCATTGTAAGGTGTAAGAGGCATGACAGGAGGATAAAGTCTGATATGTGCTGACACGAGGAGGCGGCTTTCACACGCAAGCATACCAAACAGTAAGCTAAGATGTAGTCTAAAAAGATGTACGTAAGGGGGGATATGATTGAAATATTAAAATCATAAAAGGTATGGGTGGGATACACTTGAGATTTATTTAACAAATCTTTGAAATTAAATTTAGGCTAACCACTAGTAGCTGCAGCTGGCAGAAGGGAAGTGTGTAGGGCAGATAAAAGGAAGTGCAGACATAGAGTGTAAAGTACAAGGAGGTGTCTTTCATCTTTTTCCTCATAGAGATAAATAGTTCAGGCTGAAAAGGAAGAATATGTAGTATTAAAATGTTCTAAATTCAAGATGATAGATTACTAAAAGCTAAGAAAAGAAACCAGGCATGTTTGAGAATAAATCTGTAGCCCAGTTACTATCCAATAGAAGTTTCCACAGTGATGGAAACTATCTCCACCATCCAGTGTAGCTACCAACCACATGTGTTTTTTGAGCATGTGAAATGGACTGAGGAACTGAATTTTAAAGTTTGCTTAATTTTAATTAATTTAAACAACCACATGTGGCTAGTATTGAACAGTGTCAGCTTTCAGTCTTTTGAAATTGATGGAGAAGACAGACATGACCTGATGCAAACCATTGTTAATCATTCTCAAACAGAATATTAAACAAGGAAAAAGGAAATTCTTGAGTCTGACCCAGTAAGATAGTCTTTCTTGGTAATTGATTTCATTTTAGCAAGGCCTTTATAATCTCAGGTACAATAATAGAGTGACAGAACATGTGTTTATAATATGTAAGATATATATATATATATATATGTATATATATATATATATATTTTTTTTTACACCCACCTTGTATATTATGTATTATGTGACTTTTTTACTATGGCAGGGAAAGGAGATTCAGAGGACAATCTAATAATCAGATAAGTTTAGTGGGTTTTTTTTAATATATAATTAGATAAGCTTTAAGTTAAAAAGGCATGGTGGAGATACACTTTTATGGATCTTGAGAAAAAGAGAAATTATTGTAAATTAGACTACTAATAAGATTAAAAATAGAACAAAAGGAAAGGCAAGTTTAATTTGGCCAGGGTAGACCTTGGGGAATAAATTGGGGAAAGGAAGTCAGAGAGATCACAAATCTATGGTTAATTCAAAGGACTTCGGAAAGATTTGACACATGCAGGTGTTGCCTATAGTAGTGAGTAGAAGATAGTGGGTAAACGAGGGAGAAGAGATGTGACAAGTGTCTTGGCGATATGGTAAATAATCAACAAGTACTTACTTGGCGTCTGTTACACAGCCAGCTTAGCAGTGAAACATAGCCCCTGCCCTCATAGACCTTACATTTTATTGTTGGAGGGGGGATGAACAGACATTAAATAATTACCAGGAATCAAATATAAATATGTCTAGAGTGTTGCAAAGAAGTACATTTGTGGGATATGGGGCTTGTAGAGGTGAGGAATCAGGGAGGACCCTCAGGTAACACTAAGAGAAGTGACATTAAAGCTCACCTTGAATATGGGGGAAGAGCTATGATGGGAGGCTGTTTTCTCTGACTTGATCCATCATTTAAGAAATCTAGTTTATGTTATGCCTAGCACAATCCAAGTACAGCCATTCACGCACACACATAATTGAAACAGAAATGCCATAGTATTTTTATTAGGTGCCATATATTCTGTTTTCCATTCTACATTATTACAAAATGCTGGCTGTGACACACTAAATGGGTTTTGGACGGAGGGAGCTGCATGTGTAAAGCAACACAGTAAGTGAAGTCCTGGGCAAGGGCTGTTGAATTCGTACCTGCAAAAGGAGAGGCTCCAGAAGCTACTCTGGAAACAGTGTGACGTAGTGTAAAGGAGAAAAGAAGTTAGAGATAATGGAGTAGGAATAGGATATGGTACAGGCTGACTGGCCATCTTTAGCCATCTTGTGAAAAGCCAAGAGGATGCAGCATTTTCCTGTTTAATGTTATGTAGAAGTGAGATGTCCCTGAGGAAGGCATAGAGCTGCGGTGTCGTGAAAACAGACCTGACGCTCTAGTCCTGGGGGAAGTGTGTCCACCATTCCTCTAGTTGCACACGCCTCTAAAACAGCTCTGCCTTTTGGGCTTCCTCCTAAGCTTTTTTTTTGAAAACCACTATTCTGGCCCTTGTCAGCCTTCCTCAAACACTATTTTAGAATTTGAGATTATTTTCAACAGGGTGTAACGGTTTTATATTTTCTCTTATTCTAAGACATGATAGTATATTAGAGAAAATACATCTCTCTGAATTAAAACACATTATCGTAATTTTCATACCACATTTATGTGAAATTAAGGTTCACTCACGTCTGTAAATATTGAGTCACTGTGTTGTACACTTGAAACTAATACAATATTGTATGTCAACTACACTTCAACTAAGAAAAAAAGATCCACTCACAATTTACCATCTAGACAAATGATACCATTTCTCGTTGTTTCCTTCAAATCTTGATCTTTTATGATTTGTAAAGTTATGATTACCATATGGTATGAACAATTTTTATTTCAAGCTTTTTCCACTTTTAATTTTTCATAAACACTTTTCTGTTTTTTTCATAGCATTTACTTATCATTGCTAATAACTTTCTTTGTATATCCTGTTGAAGTTCTACAGTATATTTAAGAATGTCCTTATTACTAGGCTTTTGTTACTCTCGGTTTCTGTTACAAAAAATAATTGTTATATATACCTTTGTTCATTTAACTTATTTTAATCTTTTATAAATTCTTCAATTTAAATGTGGCGGCTGTTGCGAGGCATTGCTAAATTTCCTCCTGTAGGATTGAACTAATTAGTACTTCAACAGAGGAGTCACAGGAATGTGTCTTCCATCTCCTGTAGCTCCTCTGGCATTGGGGTTTGTCATATCTTAATTTTTTCCAGTGAAACTTACCTCATTTTGTAAGTTTAAGTTTTTTTTCATTACTGACAAATAGGTTTCCTTATTTTTTATGGCTACTTAAGTTTTCATTTGTGGATTTAGCTTTTTTTGCCCTCCATGTTTTTTGCCCACTCACTTGCCAGTTGTTAATTGTTTATTTAAGGTCAGGGTTCTTTCCGTTTTTCCTGAAAGAAAATACGAAGTAGTTATGTTTTAGAAAAAGACTCTTATGCTTGTGAGGTGCTTTTTGCTTTAAAAAATTTTTAGCCTCATGGCCACCTCTGTTTACCAGATTCTTATGTTTTGATGTATTATCAGTGTCAGTTCTCACATCTGTCCTTAACTAGCTGCTGCAGTGCAAAATATGATCTTGTACTAGAGGAGCAAGCAGAAGATTCAAAATCAAGTCACTCACACACAAGTAAAAAACACAAGAAGAAAACTCGTCACTGCTCTGAAGAACAAGAAGATGAGGACTACATGCCGATCAGAAATACTAATCAGGTACTTGTAAGGTCCAGCCTTAGCTGTAGAGAGAGAATTATTTTATCCCTCTGTAAATTACTTCTAAGTGACATAATGTAGGGGGAAAGGGTATAGTTCTGAAAGGGTGGCCATGTTCCTAACTAGAACATAGAATGGTTTCACTGGGGTGATGGACTGTAGTTTTTGAGAATATAGATCACAAATGATAAAAGATTGTTTTCAAAGTAACTTAGTATATCATTCAGTTCCATATTGTGAAACGAGTGATTTCTGAACCTGTGGACACTTACTTAACTCCCATCAGGAGCAAGTGTGGTTGTGCTGAAAAAGTGCTCATGTGTCATTTTAACTGATCACCAGGTGTTATGGATAGTACTTATAGCTCTTGAAGTTTTTTTTTTAATTTATTTTTTATTATTTATATATTTTTTAAAGATTTTTATTTATTTATTTGAAAGAGAGAGCATGAGCAGGGGGAGGGGGAGAAGCAGACTCCCCTGCTGAGCAGGGAGCCCGATGCAGGGCTTGATCCCAGGACACTGGGATCATGACCTGAGCCAAAGTCAGTCACTTGACCGACTGAGCCACTCAGGCTCCCGGCTCTTGAAGTTTTAAGACCTGTGAAACATTTATGGGGAGGGGGAGGGGCAGAGAGATAAGCCGACCCCCTGCTGAGCTCAGAGCCTGACAGGGGGCTTAACCCCAGGACCCTGGGATCATGACCAGAGCTGAAGGCAGACGCTTAACTTGACGGAGCCACCCAGGTGCCCTGCCACCAACATTTCTTGAATCTTGATTCTTCTCTAGACACTTAAATCTCCATCCCCATCTCCCACTCCTACCCAAACTTCAGGGACACAAAATGACAGGTAATCTTTGCCCTCAGAGAATTTAGGATCTAGGGAGGGATGAACATATAAGGAAGAAAGGGACGATGTAAGACATGTAACTTAATTAAGACAGCATTGGACATGGAGTCAAAAGATCACTGTTTGAGCCGAAGCATGCTATATAATTTTTGATAAGGCACTAAATCCCCTTTATCTTAAGTTTCTTCATATAGATTTTGTGCATCTTTTTTATCCTGCTGTTTGATTACTTTAAAACTTCACAATAGAAAATATTTTTCTTTTTTGGCATGGAGTAAAAGCCATCAAGTAGTTTTTGGGGGGAATGTTGTTAGAACTTTTTAAAATAATTTTAAATCAGTTGGCAATTATAAAATTATTATATTATTCTTTTTTAAATTCCTGTGTTTTAAATCAGAATAGTTTCTGTGGTAAGGCCATTCACTGGATTCATATTTTAATTAATTTGTTTCTTTTCAATGTTTAGAGATTGCTTTAAATAATTTTTTGTGTGTTTTGTAGTTTTAAAAATTTCTTGTATGCTTTCAAAGTAAAATCTGCGAAGTGGTATGTGTGGAGAACCTAGATTCTTCCCCCCACCTTTCACTTCTGCCCCCACGGCAGCCCCTCGGTGTGTTTCATGGGTTGTTCTTCATTTTTAAAAAATTTCAGCAGATAATGTATTTTATATACAATATTTTTAGTTTCCTCTGTTCTAGATAGCATGTATTCCTGCTCCTCGCTGTCATCTTGAGGACCTCTCTTTTTCCATAGCCTTTTTGCTATTTAAAGAGTGCCCTCATTCATGCCCTGCCCTCAGCGTTTAAGTCACACCTTTCCTCTGTTACTCAGTTCTCCCAACTAAGATGCACATGAATCAGTGACAGCTAGTGGTGTCTGTGTGAGTACAATGTGAGGTGGATACGATTTTCCCCATTTCACAACCGAGAAAGTGAAAACTGAAGAGTTTAAGTGACTTGCCCTGGTTTTACAGAGCTGATAAGTAGCAGAGCCACAGTATAAATCCGGACTTGTTCTCCTAGCCGCTCTGCTGCTGCTCTGACCTGGAGTATATTGCTGGCAGTTTTCTATTGCTAGTCTAATAAAATTGGTCCCCTAGTGTGATATTCCAGTGTGATCTACCTGGCACAGCTCCCTTTTAATTTCTGTACTGTATTAGTTTGGCCTGAGACCACCCCAGTCTTTTGAAATGGTGGCTGTGTCACATTTCTATGAATATTTAGCATGTTTTTTGACATGCTGGAACTCGTTGATCCCCGCCCCCTGCGTCACTCCCGACCACTGTCCGTGTTTTTTTAGCCGCAGCTTCCTGTCCTGCACTTGCACATGGACTCGTCAGTGAGTTTAGGCCTGACGTGCAGTATGTTGGTCTATTTGCAATAATCAGAGGTCCAGAAAACCAAAATCTGGCTGCATTTTAAGTCTCTGATTCCCCCTTTTGTGCATCTTTTTTATCCTGCTGTTTGATTACTTTAAAACTTTACAATAGAAAATATTTTTCTTTTTTGGCATGGAGTAAAAGCCATCAAGTAGTTTTTTGGGGGAATGTCGTTAGAACTTTTAAAATAATTTTAAATCAGTTGGCAATTATAAAATTTTTAGGTTCCAACTAATAATCTCCTAACTTATTTCTCCCCTCAAAGCAAATGTTTTTTGATTTTGCACTTTGATTTAATAATACAAGTATACTAATTTTCTTTCCAATAAAATAGCATCTGTATTTAACAGTTTAGTGGGCCCAATTTTTTGTTTTTTTTTCTGATTTTTATCCTTTTGATTTCAGTCTCAAGATTATAATCATTAAAGGGAATTTTCAGTACTAGGTTATTCTCAGGTATAGCTCAGATTTTCCTATTTGTTGATATTTTGCTTGGTGGGCCTAGTTTCCTAAGAATATTTTAACTTATTTCTTCAAGTTCTTTGTTTTTTATTGAGTGACAGCCTTACTGTTCAATTTGAAAATTTCTCTGTTTAAATTTTCCACCTCATGTCTTTATTCCAGAGATGGTTACTATGTTGTTGAGGCTTGGGTTTTACTGGGGTTCCAGGAAGTGAGCTTTCGGCTGTGGGTTGCCTGGCTGAGAAGTATGCATCCTGGTTGTCAGTCCTCCTCTGTGGCTTTTGTAGGTGTTTATTATTCTTATAATTGGGGACTCTTATTTTTGCTGTCATTTTGATCAGTTAATGTTATTTTAGTGATTTAGATTTAACTAAATCTTTGATTTAGTCCTAGAGACCTGAGCAAGGATAGCTTTTAGTTTAGATTTTTTTGGACTGCTTTACATGAAATCATTGGATAGGTTCAGGTGATTGCTTTAAATTGTCCACTTAAAAAATAAATAAATTGGCCATTTTATGGTGTTTTTTCTTTTTTTTTTATTAAGATTTTATTTATTCATTTGTGAGAGAGACAGAGAGATAACAAGCAGAGGGAGAGGGAGAAGCAGACTCCCTGCTGAGCAAGGAGCCCGATGTGGGACTCGACCCCAGGACCCTGGGATCATGACCTGAGCTGAAGGCAGACGCTCAACCATCTGAGCCACCCAGGCGCCCTATGGTGTTTTTTCTTTCCTTTTTAGCCACATACTAGTTTAGTTATTTTGTCTTATGGCTTAAGTGTATAAAATGATAGAATTTTTTTAAAGTCTGTATTGGAAAGGACTTACAGCTCATCTAATTTATTCCCTTCCCCTTAGATGTAAAGATCCTGACCCCACAGGCCTGTGGCCCTTTATAGTTTAATGAGAGAGCTAGAACTTTAACATTATATTGATTCAGGTATGGGTTTTTTTCATTATTCTGTACCACTTCCTTTGCAATTTTATATGTCAAGTTACTGATCAGTTAAAAAATTATCTCCACCCTGTATAGATCTCTTGAGTCTCACTTTCCTTATTTTCTAGAATGAGGGTAATATTGTACTCCAAAAGCACCTAGCACTGTGCTAGCACATACTTAAAGGATTAGTTCTAATATGGCTTCATCCAGCCATCTGACCTTTTCCTCTTCATGCACATGGTGGTGATTCTTCCTTGCTTTTCAGTTTTCACTTCTACTCCGTGCATTAGCCTTCTTGCAGCCAATCCACAGCCAAACCCACTCATTCTTTGAGGTTAATATCAAGTCCTAACTTCTCTATGAAACCTTCCCTGGTAAATCTAACCTCAAGATTATTTCTTGTTTGACATATCTCGTAAATGGCAAAGACCATTTGAACCTAGAGCTGCCCAACTTTAAAGCTTGTATAGCTTTGAAAAATACTCCAAGTAGGAGAGGTTTTAAGGTTTCAGTCATTTCAGATTTTCAGCTTCATCAAGTTTTTCAAAGAATTAAATACTGTATAATCTTTTATCTCCTTCTCTCTTATTTTAAACACTCAAAGCACTTAAGTGCCTTTTTGTATAATTACTAAAGATTTTATACTTATACATCAGTTAGCAGTCTCTCCATTTTAAAAGTTTGTTGTCCCAACCAATACAGGAATTAAGTATACAGACAGAATAGTACATAGATATTTACATTTTGTTTATGTTACAGGAAGCACAAAAAATTCTTTTATCTAGGGCTGTCATATATTGCTAGAAAGTAGTAGTTAAAGAGTTAAACCAAGTACTCACTTTCTACCTCTGGGACTCTTACAGAGTGAGAATAACTATTGGGATTGTGCAGGAAATCATGCAACAGTTTATAAAGTTGTATTCCACAAACACTGATTAGAACAATCATGTTAGATCTATTTTCACATGCTGCAATCTCCAGGCCAGGTGTAATGTACAGTATCTAGACAATATATGGAATAATTATGAATCCTTTGCTTAAAACCCAGTCCTTAACCATGGGTATTCATCACTCTAGATTTGAAACCTTGACATTTACATCTATTATAATAATGTCTGTGGTGATAGAGTTGGGACCCTTGGGAACTCAATCCTTAGGATTTTGCTTTCCTCTGAGAGAAATCTTTTAAGGAAGTTGAATTTTATGAACTGTCTCTTGAAAGAGCATTGGCTCTGGTCTCTTTAGATTTTGGCCACTTGCTGAGATACTCATTTTATTTTACTTTATTTTTTTAAGTAGACTCCATGCCCAGTGTGGAGCCCAAGGCGGGGCTTGAACTCATGACCCTGAGATCAAGACCTGAGCTGAGATCAAGAGTCAGATGCTCAACCAACTGAGCCACCCAGGTGCCCCTAAGATACTCATTTTAATTAGGGATAGAACACAAACAGAAATAGAATTGTTTTAACTAGCCCCCTTCATAGAGGAAAATTACTACTGTTACTGAAAAATTAGTAAGAATAGAATTTAGGGTCACCGGGTGGCTCACCTGCTTAAGATTCTCTCCGTCTGCCCCCCTCCTTCTCTCTGTCTCTGTCTCTCTCACCCCCTCCCCCAAAAAAGAATTTAATGTATCTACTCTGGTGGCCCATTATTTCTTAACTCATTTTTAAAGAAATATGTAAATAAATGATTTTATTTATTTATTATTTTTTAAAGATTTCCTTATTAGAGAAAGTGCATGCACATGCAGGGGGAGGGGCAGAGGGAATCTCAAGCAGACACCCCTCTGAGTGTAGAGCCTGACACGGGTCTCCGTCTCATGACCCATGAGATCATGACTTGAGTCAAAACCAAGAGTCGGATGCTTAACCGACTGAGCCACCCAGGTGCCCCAATAAATGATTTTAATAAAAAACATATATCAGCTTAATATAAACAAGGAAAATATATTTGAAGATTTGAAGAGGAGTTGTTATAAAATAAACACTTTAAAAATAAGCACTCAGACTAAAGTATGCAGTATCTGTTTTATCGACTTGTCTAAAACCTCTTCTGGCTATGTTATTTAAATGTCTTTCTTTATAGGGTTTTTATGGGAATTTTAGTAATTCCATTGCAGATCAATTGGGGAGCAGAGAAGGGAGGGGTAGAAAGGTGACCAGCCACAGCCAGAATTCTTGGTATTGTGATTTTCTCTAAACAGTTGTTCTAATTTCAGTTGCGTGGATTTCAGTTCTTTATTTTTGGTTCTGATCCTTCAGTTCAGCTGAAGTAGTAGTTACAAAGCAATGAGATTGATAAGAAAAATGATTAAGTCTTTTTCTGAATTATTTTTGCTTTCTAATTTATGAGATTCTTGGGATTAGTGGTGGTGGACTTTCTGAGTTTTAATTGACAGTACCTATAAAATGATTATTTTATGGATTCACTTGTAGCTGTCTCTCCATGCCTTTGACAGGATATCTACAGGGAGATGGGATTTGGTCACTATGAAGAAGAAGAAAGCTGTTGGGAGAAACAGAAGAGTGACAAGAGAGACCGACCTCAGAACCGAAGTCGTAGCCGATCTCGAGAAAGGGACGGCCACTACAGTAATAGTCACAAATCCAAGTATCAGACCGACCCCTACGAAAGAGAACGGAATAAAAAGAGAGACCGAAGCAGGAGTCCCAAGAAATCCAAAGATAAAGAAAAATCTAAGTACAGATGAACAATGAAGAACCAGACATGGGTGGCTAATGTATTTACTGTTGTCTAACTTAGAGCATCAGCTGTTCAGATTTTGTGTCAAAGCCGTTAAAGACTCTGCTTGTTATTTTTTTTTCACACTAGGGTTATGGCCCTTTTCAGTTGATACTGATTGTATAGGGCACAGAAAGACAATAAAAAACTGAACATTTTCTTTGTATACTTTTTTACACTAATTTTATTGTTATACATAAACAGTAGTCTTCATTTTTAAAGTCTTTCACATTTTCCACTCTTCTTTTTTTTAAATGGAAGTATTTCATACTTACAAAAATTCACAAACATGTATATATAAGGTATAAAGAATAGTAAATATTTGTGTGCCCATGAGCCAGCTTAAGAAATAGAATATCTCCTACATTTTAGAAACTCTCTTTATGCTCTCTCCTCAAGTGATGATGATTCTGAATTTTGTATTTGTCATTCTCTTGCTTGTTATAATTTTACACCAATGTATGTATTCTGAAATGAAATGTTAAATTTTGTATGTTTTTGAATTTTATATAAATGGCATAATGTATGTTTACATCTGTGACTTGCTTTTTTCAACTTAGTATTTTTAGAGAATCATTCATTTTTATTGCTTTGTAGTATTGTATGAATAGACTGCAATTTACCCATTCTTCTGTTAATGGCCATTTGGAGTTGTTGGTTTGTTTTTGTTTTTGCTATTGCAAACAGTGCTGCTATGAACATTCTGTATCTAGGAGTGATATTACTTGCTCACATGGTATGAATATTTTCATCTTTACAAGATAATGCCAAATTATATTCTGCAGTGGCTGAACCAGTTTATACCCCGACCAACTCTATGTGAGTTACCTTTGTATTACATCATCTCAAACACTTCTTAGTTTCATACTTTTAAATTTTGCCAATGTAGTGGATGCTTAGTGGTACCTTCTTGTGGTTTCCAGCAAGAAGACTACTATTATTCTTATATTTGTTCTTCTATATGTAACTTGTTCTTTTTCTCTGGCTGCTTTTCCTGTTTTCTCTTTATCACTGCTGTTGTGCAATTTGATTATGATGTGCTTGGTGTAGTTTTTTTTCACGTTTCTTTTGCTGGGGCTGTTTACCTACAGGTTTATGGTTTTCACCAAATTTGGAAAAGCTATGGGTATTATTTATTCGGTTTTTTTCTGTCCCTCCCCTCCTCTCACTGTCCTAGGACTCCAGTGACTTGTTTGTTAGGCCGTCTGATGTTGTCATACATTATACTGATGCTCCATTTGGGTGAAGTCTTTTTCTCCTGTTCCATACTGAGTAGTTTCCATGGCTGTGTCCTCAAGTTCATTAATCTTTTCTCCTGAAGTATCTAATCTGTTAATCCCATCCAGTGTATTTTTCACCTCAGATGTAATTTTTTAATTTTAGAAGTTCCATTTGGGTCTTTTTTTTATCCCCCATGCTTTTCCTTAACAGGCTCATGCTTTCCTCCATTTTTTTTTTTTTTAAACACCTGGAGTACATTAATAATAGCTGTGCTAATGTACTTGATCATTCTGTCATCTGTATCATTTCTGGTCTATTTCTATTGATTGATTTTTTCCCCACCCATTATTGAGTTGTAATTTACTTTCCACTGGTAATTTTTGGATTTTACATTGCTGTGTACTAGAGTTCTTGTGTTCCTTTAAATATATTGAGCTTTTTCTGGAACATAATTAAGTTACTTGGAAACAGTCTGATCCTTTTATAGCTTGCCTTTTAAGTATAATGAGGTAGGACCAGAAGAGCTTTTAGGGCTAATTTGGCCCACTACTGAGGTAATACCCTCTGAATAATCTCCCCTTTGCTTAGTCTCTTAGGAGATCTCTCCTCTCTGGCTATTGGGAACAAGAACAATTTTGAGCCCTATATGAACTCCCAGGTTCTGCTGCCTGCTCTTTTCTGGTGGTTCTTTCCCACCTTCGGGTAGTTTCCTCGTGCGCATACACCGATTAGTATTCAGCTGAAGACTCAGGCAAACCCTCTGTAGGTCTGGAACTCTCCCGCTGTAGTTCCCTCCTCTTTCCAGTACTCTGCCCTACAAACTGCATCTTGGCTCTGCCAACTGTCTACCCCCAGAGACTCCCAGGCTTTTCAGAATCACACCCCTGTCATAGTGCTACAGTGCAGAAGTCGCACAGTTAGCTCAGGCAATTGTCGCTTTCTTGTTGGTTTTCCTTCTCAAGAATCACTGGCCTGCGCTGGCTCCTGTCCAGCGTCTGAAAAACTTCGCAGCAGATCTTCTGTGCAGGTCTTTAGTTGTTCAAAACGGGGAGGGAAAGTCCTGGTCCTGTCATCTCATTTTGGCCTGAGTGGAAATATCGCTATTTAAATTTGCATTTCCTAAATGCTAACAAGGTTGAGCATTTCTTGGTATGTATTTTTTTTTGTAAAGATTTTATTTATTAATTTGACAGAGAGAGACACAGCGAGAGCGGGAACACAAGCAGGGGGAGCGGGAGAGGGAGAAGCAGGCTTCCCGCGGAGCAGGGAGCCCGATGCGGGGCTCGATCCCAGGACCCTGGGACCATGACCTGAGCCGAAGGCAGACGCTTAATGACTGAGCCACCCGGGCGCCCCTTTTTGTATGTATTATATTCGTTCCCAGTTGCTCTCTGTGAAGTTTTACATGTCTTTTGCCCATTTTATGTGAAGTTTCTGTCTTTTTCTTACAGAATTCTTTAAGGAGTTTTTCTTATGGACTGTGGATACTAATCCATTATTACGATTAGATGTAAACATTTTCTCTCAGTTTGTGGCTTATTTTTTCACCTTTTTATTGATGCCCTTGGAAGAGCACAAGTTATGAATGTCTCCTCAACTTTGTAATATGAAAAGTTTCATAATACATAAAAACACAAAAATAACATCCGTATAACTTGCATCCAGATTTAACAGTCAATAACACTTTGTTGTTGAACAGTTTGTAAGTAAATTGAAAACATCATGACCTTTCACTTTTCAGTATTTCACCATGCATTTCTTAAAAAGCAAGTGTCCTGTATAACCACAATATTATTATCACACTTGAGAAAATTAACAGTAAGGGTGCGTGGCTGGCTCAGTCGATAGAGCATGCGACTCGATCTCAGGGTCATGAGTTGCAGCCCCACATTGGGTATAGAGATTACTTAAAAAAGAAAAGTAACAATAGTCCCATAATATATAACACATAGTCTATATTTGAATTTCCCTGATTGTCTCAAGAATACCATTTTTAGCTGTTGATTTGTTTTTAAACCCAAACTCAAGGTTCATGCATTGCATGTTCTTGTCATTTTTATTTTCTTAATCTAGAAGAGTTTCTTACCCATCCATCCCACCTCTTTTTTTTTAATGACATTGACTTTTTGAAGAGTTCAGGCCAGAATATTTCATAGAATGTTTCAGATTCTGGCAGTTATTTGATGGTATCTTCATGATGTCTTCTAGCTCTTCTGTTTCCTATAAACTGGAAGTTAGGTCTAAATGTTTGATTAGAATTAGGTTATATATTTTAGGCAGAAATTTTTAAGTTGAATGTCAAATTTATTAGCCTTTCTCTGTGTTTTGTGCTTTTTGTATTTTGTTTAAGAAATCCTTAATAAAGACATTCTCCTATATTCTAAAAGTTGTAAGTAAAGCTTTGGGTTTTTTTTTTTTAATTAAAAAAATTATTTGGAAATGGAAGAATGGTTTGGCACGAGTCAATCTATCATTGTAATTAAATGCATTAACAGAATAAAGAAAATAACATATATTTAGAAAAGATATTTGATAAAATTCAATACTCATGATTTTTAAGAAACAGTAGTAAAGTTTTGTTTTTTACATTTAAATCTTTAATCTACATTGTATGTGTGTATGTATATGGTGTGATACAATGAAAAAAAATACTTTTTTTAAAAAACGTGGATACAACCAGTTGTCCAAAGCCCCTTAGTAAATGGTTCATCTATTCCCTGTTGATCTACCCTCCCACTTCTGTCATACACATTTCCATATATAAGTGGATTTTGTTTCATGGGCTCTCTATTCCATCGGTTTAGTGTTTATCCCACTACCAGTACCAAACATATACATTTCTGTGACTATAGAAAGTCTCTAAGCAAGTCCCCTCACCTGTTTTATTAGTAATGCCTATGCCCTTTGTTTTGTGCAATTTTGGAATCAACTTACCTGGTTTCCCAAAGAATTCTGTTGGGATTTTAATTGCACTTGCATTCAAACAATAGGAATTTTCGTGGAAAAAACATCATAATATTGGATCTTCCTATTCATAAAAATAGCATAGCCCTCCAGTTCTTGAACCTTTTAGAATTTTCCTTATGAAATTTTTGTTAGATTTACTCCTAGCTTCCGTAACTTTTATGAATAAGATTCTATTCTATTGTTCTATTATAAATTATATAGTATTTTTTTTTTGAAGATTTTATTTATTTATTTATTTGACAGAGAGAGCACAAGCAAGGGAGCGGCAGGCAGAGGGCGAGGGAGAAGCACGCTCCCGTGGAGCAGGAAGCTGGATACCGGGCTCCATCCCAGGACCCTGGGATTCATGACCTGAGCCAAAGGCAGACACCCGCCTGAGCCACCCAGGCGCCCCTAAATAGTATCTTTTAAACATACGATTTTGTTTCCTGACCTATGAGGTCACACATTTCTTTCAACTTTTGATTTTGAGATAATTTGAGGTTTACAGAAACATTGCAAAAATGAAAATACGGAACGCTTTGCTAATTTTCATGTCATCTTGTGCAGGGTTCGTGCCAATCTCTGTTCCAGTTACAGTGTATGTGCTACTGAAGTGAGTACACAAGTTGTTTCTGATCACTGCCCTTAATATCCAGCCATTTTACAAAAGTCTTTTATTTAGAATTGGTCTCTAGGGTTTTTTGGGGTCTTTTATGTGGACGATAATGTTATTTGCAAATACATTTTTTTCTTTCCTCTTTCCCATTTTTATTTTATTTTTTTAAGATTTTATTTATTTATTTGAGAAAGAGAGAATGAGAGATAGAGAGCACGAGAGGGAAGAGGGTCCGAGGGAGAAGCAGACTCCCCGCTGAGCAGGGAGCCCAATGCGGGACTCGATCCCGGGACTCCAGGATCATGACCTGAGCCGAAGGCAGTCGCTTAACCAACTGAGCCACCCAGGCGCCCCTAAACTTCTAATTTTCAAGATCATTATAGATTCACATGAAGTTGTAAGAAATAAGCAGAGAGATCTTATGGTACCCTTTATCCAGTTTCTCTGAATGGTAACATTTTGTAAGGTAATAGTACAATGTCACAGCCAGAATATTGACACTAATACAGTAAAGATACAGAACATGCCCAACACAAGGAACCCTCATGTTGCCCTTTTATAGGCATACCCACTTCCTTACCTCCTATTCCGTCCTTTGCCTCTAACAACCACTATCCTGTTCTCCATTCCTATAACTTGGTCATTTCAAGTATTTTATATAAATGAAATTATGTAGCCTTTTGGGGTTGGCTTTTTTCCACCACTCAGTGTAATTCTTTGAAGATTCTTCCAGGTTGTTG